CTCCTGAATTTTTCAGGCAGACAGGAATGCCTGCCAGGCCAGCACTGAGCCAGCCAGAAGCTGTGGCAATATGGGCAATATGAAACAGAATTTGATTTAACGTTAGCATGCCTTTCTGTGGGTTTATTGACTTGATTTCTCTATTGTGCTAACTTAATCCATGCAGCTTCCAGTTGATTTGGAGTGATGACTGCTTTTGTCTGCAAAATGCTTTCCAAACATATTCCTAAACCTGCCAATAAACAGAACTACAGCTGAGAAGTGTGACTGCTGAATGAAAACAGTGGGTGAAAAGGTAATTGTTAGAGGCTAGAGCCTTAGAGAAAAGATAAAAAAAACCCTAAAAGAGATTAAAATCATAATTAGACCAACACTGTGAAAAGATAACCAAGTCCACTTTCCAAAAGGAGTGGTTTTACACTTGCTTAGCAAGAGGTCTTGTCTCATGAAAGTTCTGAAAGCAGAACAGTCCATTGTTTATAAGATTGATTTGCTATTCAAGTTAGTGTATGTAGAGCATTCTAGGTCTTATACAAGGCTGAAAACTATTTTCAGGCGTTAATTATGAAATAAATCTTATTACAATGTTATAAGCAGTACTTCAATACTATCATCATCTCGAAGCAGAGACCCCAAAAATAGCCCTGTGTGCTTCAGTTTACCATGTTAATAGAATTAAAATTTACTGTACCCAAAACGAGGTCATAAATAAATCTTTTTGGAGCAGGGATCTGTGGTGTTTATTTGGGTGATGCCACCTCTGTAACCTTTTACTAGTTCCATCATTTAAGAGAAATATTAATGTAATAAACGGGAATGCCTCCCTCCCTCCCTGACCCCATCCAGAAGTTAATAGTGAATTGGATAGGAACTTTAAAGTGTATGTCATTACTAGAAAATATGAACTACTTCTGACCCTTAGATTCACCCTAATATTTCAGAAAACATCCAGAACTAACAGCATTATTGGTGTAAAGATCTGGCTGGAAAAGGGTTATTTATTGTGTAGAAAAAGTACATGTAGAAAATGTCTCTTACGGCCTTGTTTCTTAATATACATATAAAAAAATTCCATTTCACTGCTTTAATTGCTATGAGCACCATGAGTAAACTGGTATTTTGCATAGCTTAGTCCAGTGAATTAAGTGTAAGTATTATTAAAACTGCATTTGTTACAATATTTAGAGGGAAGGGGAGAAAAATGTGCAAGTCAAACCTTTCTGCCTTGGAGGACAGAGACCAAATAGATATAACAGAAGTCATTGATAAATTGGACTGTTCAATTGGGTTAGTGACAAATGACAGCTGAGTAGGAGTCATTGCAATGAATCTAGAGGGCCTGTATTCAAAATACCATCCTTTACTGTGAACACTTTATCAATTTCTCCATAGTTAGATAGAAAGATAGAAATAAACCCAATCTATATTTTTAACTTGAGATTAGGAGCATAAAGATAGTGCTGTTGTCACCATTTAATCCTTCTAATGCCCCCATAGTCAGAATCTGATGTGGCCAGAACTTTGAGATTAGTCTGTTCTGCTCTTTCTGTACAGGAAGTTTTTCGAAAGATTTTTAAAATGAAAAATTCAGATTTATTAGAGTAAAATTTGAATTCTTGAACTCTTTAAATAGCATATAGAGGTGAGATATAGCACAACAAATCTCCCTCTTTTGTTTTCTCCTACTTCTTCTACATCCTTTCAGGACAGGTCCTTGCTCCAGGACTGGTTTCAATCAATGTGTTTGTTTTAGGAATACTGTTGAACTCCACATAGCCTGGTGTAGTCATGGGGAAGTTTTTCCCTGTCCCTGCTTTCTCAGAAAGGGGAAGGTATGATCCCTTTTCAAACCACAGGTTCTCAGCAACATTTTCTGATTTTCTTCCCCAGTAGAAGAAAGCAGAAACCCCATAGTTTCTGGCATCTTATTATCCAGTGGTTTTCCTGGAACAACTATAACACCAGAGGCCTACCCCTATGTCCTTCTTTTCTTGGAATGTAACACAGGCACTGAGAACAAAATGGTCTGGTTTAGTCCATTTTACCATTAATCCACCTGCTGATCAAAAAATAAACAGTGGACAGATTGATATCTAATGAATGACAGTGGTCAGATATTGGAGATGCATTTTAAATTAAAAAAAAAATTGAAACTAACTAGACATTGAACAAACAGCAAAATAAGATGAATCATTTTCTCTTCTAAGAGAAAAGACTGTCTACAGGGAGAGCCTGGCCTCACTGCATGATAGGTTTGAACCAGAATGCAGAGAAGAGAAAAATTCCTCAGGGTGTGCTTTGGCAGAATTATGAAATAAATAAAAAAATGTGCTGGGTGGGAATATTTTTCTCTGGTTGAATGGTTTGAAGCAATTTTAGGATTTTTGGCCAATTTAATACATAATCCTCTAACTATAATGTTCTTGGCAAAGAACATTCTTCAGCTTCTGTCTTGTTAGAAGATGCTATTCCTCTCAAAACTGGTTTATTTTAGTTTGGTGTGACATTAGCTGCAAGGCTCTTCAGTAGTACAGGCAGAGTTTGGTTGTTGCAGGAGGTGCCCAAAACCCTGCTGTGAAAGTGAAAAGGGTTAGAAGTGGCAAAGGAGGGTAGAGAACTACAAGGGAAGAAGAAAAAGTTGCTGAGAGTGAAATTTCCATGTTACTGCTCTGCACAGACTGAGTCCTGGCTCCTGCTTCCAGAAGACTCCTTTTATTCCAGCAGCAGTGGCTGCCCTTGCAGCACCCTGAGCCTTCCCTGTGAGCAGCAGCACTGCCTGACACCTCAATGTTCCTGTCTGGAAAAGGAGCCCTTTGCTCTTTTGCTGCACAGCAGCAGGCTGTGCTCTAAGGTGTTGAACAGCACTGCTCTCACCAGGGTTTAATGGAGAGAATGCAGAGGCTTCATTTCAGTCTAGGGAAGGACTGAGACTTGGCCTGAGTCTCAAGTTTAAGGAACTTAAATGGATACTTTATTCTGGTTTGCTGTTTTATCACCAACACTTCTCAGTTCTCTGTTGCAAAGACTCGAGGGAAACATGCTCAAGGATTCCCAGCCGTGAACACCACCTAAGGAGTGATAGGATTTAATTCCATAGTAGTTGTGTGTCTCTCCATCTCCCTGAAAGAGGTTATATCGAGGTGGCTGTCGCCACTGAAAGAGTGGACAGGCACTGGAATAAGTTGGGGAGGTGGTGGAGTCCCTGTCTCTGGAGGGATTCAAGATGTGTCTGGATGTGGCACTTGGGGTTATAGTTTAGGGGTGATTATGGTGATGCTGGTGGATGGTTGGACTGGATAATCTTGGAGGTCTCTTCCAACCTTGTTTATTCTGTGATTTGTAGCGTATGAGTGATACATAATGGCTTTATATTTGTGTGCAATAGGGTACAAAATGACAGAAGTCTACATTAATACAAGCTGTATTTATTAGCTCCCTTATTATTTAATAGATATATTAGTTTTTTTAATAGTGGGTTCCTTAATAAATATTGTGGTCTCTTAAATTAGATACATATTTGGCCTGCAATTAATAAGGTGGAGTCGGACACATAAATAGAACTGGGTGTTGCTTGGGCTTAAGCTGCATCTCAGGAGGGTTGGATCCAGAGATCACTCACAGAGAACAAAGGTCTCTGAAAGCAAATGGACACAAGGGAAATAAGATTAAAACCAGTATATATCTTAAACTCTCCAAAGGATTATGAATGATGTTTTTATAGTGACAAGTGGGAACTCAGGAAACTAGATGTTCCAGTTTTAGAGACTACAATGTCTGCGTGCTGATGTTAACACAGCAAAAGGTCTCAAGTAACAACAATGAAAAATTGCACTTGCACTGTTGTCTCAACTTTGTATCAGTATCTTGGCAGAGCACTCAGATATTTTGAGTGGAGAATAACAGTTTTCTGCTTCTGTACTCCAAGTAAAGGTTTAAGAGCAAATTCTTAACGCAAGGATTTAATTCTGATAAATTGGAGAATAAGCAAATTCTGGTACTAGCAATGCCTTTAAATATTTTGTATGAAAGCATTTTCATTATAGAAAAAACAGGGCTGAAGGAAGAGGTTATCTAATCTATTGAACTCTCTCTTAAATCTTTATCTCTGCTTAAAAATCTCTAGTGAAAGAGTTTCCAGAATTGCATTAAGTGGCGTGATGCAGTTCTTCACTGACTTGCAGTGAAGAGTTGCCTACTGCTGATTCATTTCCCTGGCAGCACTGAAAAGTCACCAATTCTGCATTGATATTCTATGGATATGGAAGTGATGTTCTCTTCGTTCTCCTTTTACTTTTCTGGGAGATTTTCTTACATTTTGAAGTTTTTTAACATGTATTTTCAATCTAAAGACTGTAAATTCCCCCCTGCCCCCGAGAACGTATTTTCTCTTAATTTTGTTGCTGTACTTGTGACAACATTATAGCAGCCTTCCAGTACCTAAAGGGCGTTTGCAAGAAGGCTGGAGAGGGTCTTTTCAGAAGGGCATGGTGTGATAGGACGAGGGGGAATGGCCTTAAAGTGAAGGGAGAGCAGGTTTAGAATACGTGTCTGGAAGACATTCTTCCCTGTGAGGGTGGTGAGACACTGGCACAAGTTGCCCAGAGAAGTTGTGGAAACCCTATCCCTGGAAGTGTTCAAGGGCAAGTTGGATGGACTGAGCACCGTGGTCTGGTGGAAGGTGTCCTTGCCCATGGCAGGAGGTTGGACTGAGATGAGCTTCAAGGTCCTTCCCAATAAAACAATTTAATGTTTCTGTGATCTTACACATAGGCAGACAGTGACATTACTGGGGAAGGTGGGTGAACAGATTGCCTTGCCTTTTTCATGTGACATTCCAGTTTATATCTGCCAATGTTTGTACGCTTTGACTGGTTTGTGTTGGTGATTTTGTGCATCTGTATCTGTTCAGCTCGAGCTAGTTCTCATTTCGATTATTCTTACTGCCCTACTCTATCCAGTTTTTGAAGTACAGTCTACTCCTTCTTCTCCCATCTGTGCAGGCCAGTGCCAAGGCACCTTCTTGGAAAATGATGCAATTTGGGTGCTTGCAACCAGTTCTCTGGAGATATTGAGTGAAGACCGAGTCGATTGTAGCTGAACAAAGGGAAGATGAAAGAGGCTGTGAAAGGTACAAGTATTCTCAGTGTATTTGCTGTGAGGGAAGAAGACACTGTAAATAGGCTAATGGATGGTACAGCTACTATATCATCCAAGAAAAGTGTGGGGGGGATTACAGTAGAAAGATGATCAATATGTATAAAGCTCCAAGAAATGTTTTTTGTCTTTAAGATTGGTGCAAGTTGAAAACTTGCTGAGCAAAAATATTTAGAAAAAAAGGCAATAGAACTGACAGGAGTGTAGCAAGTCTAATCAATAATAAAAGGATAATCTGTCTTTCTTTGTGGTACATGAAGCAATAATCTGTTGTTCAGATTGATTAAATGCCTCAGCTCTGTTTCGATTATTAATCAATCTGTAAAACAGCTTATTGTGAGTATAATACAAAGTACTAGAGATTATGGATAGTGGATGGTGATAATAGGACGAGGGAGGGGGTGTCTTTTTTTTCTTCATGTGAAAAAAGTTGAGCTGAAGTGAGGTGGAGGGTTTCTTTGGACAGACTTTCTGTTCCTACATATATAAGTGGCTTGACTGCAGTGTCAAGTTGCAGAGTTCTAAAACAGGGTCTAAAAGTTGAGTTTACACAATTTGTGGTGATTTTCATCTCTGATATGCAAACACAGGAAGGGCCACTAACTGGACAGAGAAAGAATGTGAAATATGAGGACTAAGAAATCAGGAAGCTCTTGGATAGAAAAAAGCTGACCAGTTATCTTTTGGAAACATGCCGTTGTCTGATATGTTCTTTGCACTAATAATTTATTTTATTCTTACAAAAATGCATGTTTGTTTGGTTCCATTCTTGTAAGGTAACACTGAATATGTGGTTTACAGACTCATGCTGGATCTTCAGAAGAATTTTCAACTTATGAACAGTACTGACCTGCACGATTAATGATGGATTATGCTGACAGTATAAATTTAGTTGCATCCTCAATCTTGACTCCTTTCCAGTTGTGTTGTTTTGGGGGTTTGGACTTTCGGATTTTTTTGTTTGTTGGTTGGTTTGTGGGGTTTTTTGATGGTAGAATAAAATAATGAAGCTGATGATAAAATGTGCCTATAAAAATTCTGGCAAATTTATTACAAAACAACATGACTTGATTTCTTATTTTTGTATCCATCTGGTCATTAGGCCTTTCCAACTGTCAGTGTCTAATATAATCTCCTTTAATAGCAGCATATAATTAGCTCTATGCTGATCAGAGGCATTGAGGATGGTGGTGGTAACATTCAAATCTGAATATCAAAATCTCAGAGAAGATAACTCAAAGAGACATATGTCTAAGCCAGCATTTATGACTTTTAGTCCTAAAGTCTGTAACTGTTGATTTAGCATCTGAGCTTTGAACTGTGGTATGGAGATTTATCAATTAAGAATCCTCAGGAGTTCTGGAAGGAAAGTACAGATGTCTCTCCAAATGTGGTAATATTTCACTTTTTTTCCCCTCTATACAGTCCTGGTCTCTCTTCAAATATTTGATTTCTTCTTATTTGTCTAGTTTCTTATTTAAAAAAAGTAATGAAAGCTATAGCCTTGACATTGCTCCATTAGGAACAAGTTGTCTCAATTTTTAACCTTAATCCAGAGCTCTATATACACGATCTATACACATGTACTTCATAAAGTGTTTCCTTAAAGGCTGTTACAGGAGTCCAGTTTTTTAGTGGTTTTTTTTCTTTTTTTGGGAGGTGACTTGGAGGTGTTTTTGTTTTACTGCACATATCTGATAAATGTATTGCAAATATAATGTGGTAGCCGTTGTTTAGGAAGGCCCTTGAAGATTGTTGATGTTGCTGAGACTGGGACTTCATTCTAAAAGTATGAATTTCTCTCAGTTCCTTTAAAGAACATTTGATTTTAACAGCTGTCTTCCAGAAGTGTTCTGTCTTGCATATGGAGTTGGACAAGCCAGCTATTTGATCATAAAAGAGCTAATTATGGGGCAGGATTTCAAACACTTCAGAAAGATATTTATTGACTAGATCTAGCAAATTATTTGGTTCATTGGAATGTATTGGAACATCAACCTCTGTATTCTGCTCTGCAGTCAACCAAAATAAACTAAACAGGGCTTCAAAAAAGGAAATACACCTTGACAAGTGAAAATTACATCTCGTGCATTAAGGCTGGAAGCGTCTTTGAATTTAGGCTTTCAGTTCTTCTATAGAAGATCACAGTTCCCTTTTTGGTCTCTGGCATTGTAATCCATTTGAGGATTCTGTCAACACCCCTTTCAAAAAATGCATAAACCTATTAAGATTTGTAGGAGAAAAATCTATACAAGTTACCTTTCACTCATAACCTGAAGTGCACAGCTGCAGCTTTCTCCAAGAAGTGTTTCAATACCAGAAAAGGAAAAGCAGACATCTACTTCTTTATGATTCTGTATTGAAAGTAAGTAGTGGTAGCACTATAGGATTTGTTTTTGGCCTAGACATTTGCTCAGGGATTGTTTTGGTTGTCCACCACTTGCTGACCAGACTGTGAGGACACATCCTAGCTCTGACAGGACAGTGGGATAGATACCAAGAGAGTCACTGCAGCACTTGAAACATCAGCGAGATGGGAAGCACACTGACTTCTCCCCAAAGAGATCTGTCAGGATTCATTGCAGGATCTATTCCTTACCTTCCTCCTTTAATTTCCTGCATCATTTAACCAGTGTTTTCTGTGGCAGAACTGCTCTGCACATCACTGCTTTCCTTTATGTTTGTTAATAAATAGTGGCTTCTGCTACACAAGATTTTTTGGCAGGCAGTAGTGAATATAATCTCTATGGGTTGCAGATATAAACTAAAGACATCTCCCAGACCTTTTAATAAGAACCCAAAACCTGTTAATGATGGAAGCAGCCTGGAAGTCACTGGACAGCTCCCCACTGTGGGCCTCTCTCTTCTTTCCCCCCCTTCCCAATAAATTTAGTTTAAGATTAAAGTCTTTCCCTGTTCTTTACAGTTATATTTTCTGGCTTTTCTCTGGAGATTATTTCCTCCAACGAAACTTCTTCATACTTCAAATCACCTTTGGTCAAACTGTAGTTTTACTGTGTAGAGTGGGGAAAAGGGAATGCTACCTTCTAAAGTAAATTGAAAAAAATATACACTAACATACAAGAACAGGTAAGAGTGTTTTATACAGAATTGAACTCTTCAAAAATAGTACTAAATATCTTGAGCTGTTGTAATACGTGCACCAAGCTGTATATGCAAAGATATTAAAATATTGAAACCCTACAAAGATCCTAAAAGGCCTTGCTTTCAAGCTAAATTTAACTGAGTTAATTTTTAATTCAATTTCTTTTTTTTCTTTAATACTCAACCCTGAAACAAACAAACAAAAAATATTCCCAATGCTATTTAGAGATATGCTGTGTCTTGAAAGGCTTGAAAATATCCTCAGAGGTCAACATTAACAGTTATTGATAATTTGAGGTATATGCCCTACAATAAATTGGATAACTTTCATCAAAACAAGTCTGTCCCTTTTATTCAGCAAAAAAAAAAACTTTCAGAAGTGTAGAGGTGGTATGAAAAATTGTTATAACAGAAGCATCTTTAGTGCTAGTTTGGAAGGTGATGCTTTTTTAGGCTTGTTCCTTAGGAAACAAAAAAACCTGAATGATGTTTCAAAACTCCAGTCTAGTCTCTTTACTGATGTTCTTGACATTATCTCTTGTACATGCAAAGCAGTTCTACGCAACTATTAATTGGATCTTTTGGGGAAGATCAGCAGAATTTCTACTTTTCAGCAAAACCAAGTGGCTGTAACTTAAGGCTATCTGAGATCACTGTAAGAATATCAGCCAGGGGAATTTCACCCTGAAGAATAAGACCTGTAAGAACCTTTATCTCGTGGCTATCCAAAGCTCATACATTTTGCCATTGAAAAGCATCCAGAGGACAGTTTGCCTAAGGGTTCTGTGGTGCAAAAAGTGGACTGAGAGCAATGAACATCAATATCAGAGGAAGGGAAAAGAAGTTTGTGTCTTGTGAATTGTTCATGTTTGAAGGGAATGTTGTTTGCTGAATTCCTTTTGCCAATGTTGCCTTAATCTAGCAAGGTGATTTGAAATACGTGTAATATTGAGATTGGTTTGTTACTGGTGTCTGCTTCTGTGTTTTTAAGATGTTGACTGGATTACTCTTACTGGTATCTCTGCACTAATCTGTTATGAGACTGCAGGCTGTTCTTGCCTCCTCCTGGCAGAGAAGGATATTTCCCAGTCTTGCTGCTTAAAATTCCTTCCAGAGCTGAATTCAGGCACAGTCTAGAGGGTGTCAATCCACTGAAGAAAGAAAGAAACAAAAAACTCTGGTGCCCTGCAATCTAGTATTGCTCTTCTTTTAAGTAAGGTGAAAGACCTTCTTCTAGGTAAATTATTTATCGGTCAGCTCTTTGAGCCACCTGGGAATGGACTCTGTTCAAGTTTGTCAGTTCAGAAATAAACTCCTGGAGTGATTCTAAACATCTTTGCATTTTTGTCAAGGAGTGAAGTCAGCTTTTTGCTGGTCCTAATTACAATTTCCTATATATCCAGTTATTGGACATTTAGAACCCTAAGTGGAGTCAAACTATAGGAAGTACTACCCAATACACTCTATTTTGTTCAGTGGTTCACCTGCCAGAATTAGAGAAAGAAAGTTTCACTTTCGTTCCAAAGAAAATAAAGGCAGAAAGAAAGGTTCTTGATAACAAGTAAAGTATTGGGAGGTTATGGAGGTGGGTTGGAATGCAGAGAGCATTTGTTCATGCGCTGTTTGGTATTTGGTGTATCAGCTGATACATTACCGCTGTTTTGAAACACTTCCACCACTTCCATTCTACCCCCAAGAGGAGGGAGCTGATTCATAAACTTAAATAGAGAGTATTAGTTATGCAAAAAAGATACTACACATCAAAATTCAGGAGTGTTGTTTATTAAGCCCAAGTGCAAGACACAGAAAGCTGTGAAATAAAACCAGTTTACAGGTTAAATCAGTGGTATGACTTTTGTAGGACATTCATCAAAATCTACTTACACAAATTAAAACAAAGAAACACATTTGTTGAATGATTGCAGTTCCTGCTGCCTCAGAATTCTTTTTTATTGCTCCTTGAAAGGCATTTACTTAATTTTTCTTGTTCAGTCAGGTAGGTATCATAACTGATTATGTACAATAATGATTTTAAATTGTGTTGATGCATCACTTAGAGAATGCAGATGCTAAAATTGCAGTAAACACAGCTGATAAAAGTAGAAGAAAGGAAAGACAAGAAAGAAAATGGATGTAAACATTAGTGGACTCCAGTAAGATTATTGATTTCTTTTGAGTTGTTTGACAGATAAAATGGAAAAGCAAAATGTCCAACTTCAAAGCATCTCTTGAAGAAAATAGGAGAATGTAGCAAAGGAGGAAGAAAATGATGAATGTTACTTAGAGAGAGGAGCAAATGCAATTGTTCTGCATGAAGTGTTTATCATTTTCCTTTTTTTGTTCTACAGCATTTGATAAACATCCATTTAGCTGTAGTAGGCAAAAAAATCATGTTTGAAGAAGTCTTGGTTCATGGGTCATCTTTCAAAGCATTATATCTTAATAGCTCAAAACTTTATCAGGTTCTGTACCACAGTTCCATGTCTGAGGCTTCAAGCAATTCTCAGAAGAAAGCAGTGAGGCAGTTCACTCTGATCAAGGAGGACATAATGCATATGCATTCACATCAGGGCTAAACAGATTTTATAGAAATACCACTGGAGATACTGATCTCTGAAGAGAAACACATTACTCCAAATACATGTATTCAGAATAGCAATGAAATTACCCTCTGAGGCTTTCTGTGATGTTACGTGTGGACTGTGAATGTTATTATTAGGTAGGAAGGGAGGAGAGGACACATGAGTTATAGAGTTAAGTCATATGCAGGCTGTATTACATATACATACAGATGTTTCAGGTGGAAAAAGAAAGGAAGTAAACAAAGATGCTGCATGTAGATTTTTTGATTTTAAAAACTGCAATCTTTCTTATTCACAAAGAATTCACAAGTTCTAGTTCTCTAAAAAGTTGGTGAAAAATGAGGTGCAAATGAGAGACAAAGACTTTTGCTGGTAGGTGTCAATCTCTTAAAAAGCATCTTCACCTGCCCCTACAAAATGCTCAGCCAGTCTGAATCCCTTTTGTAGTCTCCAGGCTTTTTTCTAATATACATTTATATGCAAAGCACTATCCAGCCAAGTTTTTAGTTGTTTCTGAGCTAAATTGCCATAGCAGATTTCCATGTACTTTTGGGAAGGGACGGGGACAGTGGTTCTGTTCTTGAGGCAGGTACTGTTTTGTGAAAGATCTTTACTATTTATTGCAGCTATCCCTGGTGAAAGATTGCAATTACTATCCTACTTCCAGCAACTCTACCCGAATCATGACAGCTCTTAATTATGTGTGAAAGAAGAAGTTATATACAGAGAAATTTCTCAGAGAGAATTACCTCTGAAATGTATTCAGGCTTAGAAGGGTCTGAAGCAGGGCTATTTGTCTTGTGCTTCTCATTTGGTTATTTTTGCTTCAGGAGCTGTGAAACTTGGCCTGACTTTTAATATGAGAATTTGCATTGGGAAGGAATTTCTGCTCCCCCTTTCTTAAAGTTTCTTCCCCCTCTTTTTTTTTTCTTTTTTAATAATCAGATTTGGCTCTGTCTATATTTCTTCCTTTATATAAGCCTCTTGCAGTCTACTGCTGAGTTAGTCTGCTGCTGATTGTACTGCTCAAGGAAACACAAAGAAATAAGTGTTTTCAGGCTTTCAAATTTCTGATCAAGTTTAAGGTTAAATCTTATTATTCAGCTACGCAACTTTAATACTCTTCAGTTATAAATGTTGCATTTTCTGTTTAAGTATTTATTGGCAGCAATTTATTAATGTTTGTACTTAGAGAAATGTACTGCAATGGCAGTCGTGTTGGAGTTGATTTTCAAAATAATTTGAAAAATGCCTGCAGAAGCTGGCATTTAAAACATGTTCTATTCCAAGTCTTACTAAATCCAAGATTTTAAATGATGTCCAGCTTCAAATCCATCCTAATGAGTAAAGATAACTGAGCCAGGACAGATGTACAGCTTCCTGGTCCAGAATAGGTAGGGTGTTGGGAACTCTGCCATTTAGTATGGGATAATATATTTCAAGTCTGTTGCCACACAAAGGCAAGAAAGGAAGTTCCAGTCAGATCTCTTTTATGCCAAAAAAGAAACATCCAGCTGGGCTATTGTGAAAAGATTTTAATGCATAGTCCATCTGATGAGATTTTTATTTCTTTGTGAAGTTTGAGCTTTATTGTACTGATATTTTCAGATAAACTGTTCTCCCTGAAAACTTCTAGGAAGCTCTCAATATTGTACCACAATTAAATTGTATTTATGATAGTTTATTAGTTCCTGACCAGTCTCCCATTATTGAGGGTTATTCGATTATGGATACTGGGTCTGAGTTTTAATAAAGCTTTCCGAATTTGTATTTCAACGTGAGACCTAAGATGGTTCAAATTTATTAAAGGTAACCTTGACAGCACAAGGTATGTTAAATTATAACATGAAAAGAGTTTCAGGAAAGAGATGATGATTGGAGATTGTAGTATTAACTTTATTTTGTGGATTGACTGTCATTGATGACCTGACCATTCCCTAACTGATGTGCTATGGGAAACAGCTGCATATGCAATGCTGGTTTATCTTTGTTTTCTGGTTCTGCTATTAAATCATCAATATAATTGTCAATAAAGGAGCTGGCCACTTGGTGGAAGGCTTATATCCATAGAGAGTAGAGAATGTTCCTGAAAAAGGCATTGATCTCCCAGCAGCAGTAAAAGTTGGGTTTCAGAAGCCGTGTAAGCGTTTGTACACTGCTGATTTTCCACAGTCGGGCCAAGCGTTACAGGGACAAGGTCATCCTGATGCCCTGCGTGGAAGGGAACAGCCCGGTTGCTTGGGGGACTAGAATTACAGGCCTTTTTTTCCTGCCTAATTAGCAATATTACTTTATATTTTGCACATCTCTTTGCATGCATTGGGAAGAAGTCTGCAGGGAGCTCATTATGTTCCCAGCCTTGTAGTTATAGGCTCTCAGAGTTGTAGCTTCGGGGGGGTGGGAGGTGTCTTCAGTGGAAAAAAATCCATATCCAGACTGAAACACTGCTGAAAACTTGTAGGAAGTCTGCATGATATCTCCTGGGGGGCATGGTTTATCCTGCCCTGTGTGTTCCTGCAGAGAAGCTGTCCAGATGAATCTTCTTGTCATAGTTTTAGTTTGAGATAATGGCTGAGGGCAGAATTTTGGCTCAGATGTCATCTGTTAATGAGTCTCTAACCAATGGATGGGTTTGGGAAGATAAAGGAGCCAATGAAACCTTTCTTATTGCTGCCTTGGTGTGATTTTGTAGAGCCCAGTGTAGTTCCTGTGACTGGTACTTCCTAGCAATAGAATTTAGTGTGAGGGGGCTTTATTTTTTTTCTCCCCTCTTTGGTGGAGAGTGACTGAAACATGACAGGATCCCATTCTCAGCACACTGCTGTGCTAACAGACTCCAAACTGTTGCTGAGAGCAAGACAAGAAGTTTTCAAAGAAAGAACAGAGAGCAAGAGCTTATGACAACCCTTTGAGGACAATAGTGTGAAGGTTTGTTGCAAGAATGTCTGTCTGAATCCAAACTCACTCAGTTCTCTTTGAGTTTTCTTTGTTTGAAGACTGGATCCTTAAATCAAAAAAGGTTGCACAACATACACCATGGAATTATTTTGTGTAACCCGTTTAAACTGAAGGAAGTACTGTGTCATTGTTTTCCAACCATCATGGAGCTACACCAGAAGCTGCTCCTCAAGAAGTCAGTATATCTCTACCCAAGGAAGATGTTACTGTATGAAGTCCCAATTGCTGGAGCTGATCAGCACTGTAAGTAGAATTTTTAATTAGATGCAATCAGAATGTCATGGACATTGCCCAGTTGATGAACCACACCTTTCTTACTCTCACTACCACCAGATAAACAATTTTGGATTTGTATAGTCATTTCTGTGGGCACTATCCATTATCCTGTGGAAGAAGTCATTGTCTAATTTAAGTGATCAAAGACATAAAATTTTGTTATCAATATACCTTTCACTGAAATACAGTGCACAGGCCCCAGAATAACCCAGAATTAAAAGGGTAGTTTCATTTTAATGGAATATAGTTTGGACAAGAATAATTTTTAACAGTTGGAATTTTGATTATAACTGCATTATGATATGGCAATATATTTAAAAATGTACAGCATACAAACATGCTTTATGTAATGTGTGGTATTAATGACACACATAATTTTAAATTTTAAATAATTTTAAATTTTAAATTGTAATAAATTGTAATTTTAACTGTAGATAATATTGTCATAAGAGTTTTTCTTCGTTTCTGTACAGAAATCATGCCATTGAGAATAGATGACTTAATGGAGTTGTGGAGGTGTGTCAGATGGGATTTGTCTTCATCACTGTGAGCTGCCCCTTTGTGCAGCTTCCTATTGCTTAGATCACTTCAGCTTCCAGCAAACTGAAGAATACTCACTTTGTTCAAGCCTGTGAGTTGCAACTGACTTAATTGCTTAGAAAAACATCTTTACAGGACAAAGCGAAAGCAAACAAAATGCTCCAAGAGTGCAGAAGAGTAGACTAAAAGAGAACTGGCACAGAAGGTAAGCCAGTTCAATAACTGTGTTATTTAATGCAGATTTAGTGTAAATAAAAGAACATAGACCAGTAGTAATAAAGCAATTTCCACAGATGCAAAATGTCTTGTTCTTGGTGATTCAGGGAAAACTGTGATGTGAGACAAGACTGTAAAATTTCTGAACACAAAAATATACTAATTTCTGCACTGTACTAGATCTGTCATTCTAACACATTCCAACAAAAAACCTCTGAGATGTTTTTTAAAACGTTATTTGGATATTGCTTTCAGACTGGGTATTCCTTCTACACTTCTGCTCTGTGGTTTGTAGAATTACAATGCAATCTTGTATAATTAACATGTCAAAGAGAGAGTAGAGCCGACAAGTGTGTCCTAATGTATTTATCAATCTTTACCTAATAGCAAAGTGTTCATTGACTGCTCGTGTGACTGACTGGGTGTTCAACCAAGTTCACTTAAAAGGTTTTAGAATGTGGGGCTCACCCATAAGTGCTTTATCTGGAAGTAAACATTACTTGTGTACTCCTAATTTCCACATTTATATGTAGTTTGTCTTGAGATAGGTGAACATTTGTAGTTGTTATTTTTTTTCCTAATTGCATTACTACTGACCTGAAGATAAAAAAAAAGGACATGCCTGGAAGTAGAATTCAACTGCCAAGCCTGCAAAAAATGATACATAGACATGAATAACATAAGTAGTATCCACAATTGTGGCCTGAGACAGGCTAGGCCAGATCTTAAGCTGATCTAGACTTGATTCTCCTTGATATCACACTGTTACAGCTCTGATAAACTGATATCAGCAAAGAGTTTGGACAAGGAAAAATCACTTTTACTGTCTGACCCTCCAAGAAAGAAATAAGTGGGTGAACTGCCATACTTTTTCCCAAAAATACTTGTTTTCTCCAACTTCACCTTGATTTTGATTTACTTCAGAATAAAAAGTGCGCTTAGAAGTGAGAGAATGGGATTAAGCTGAAAGAAGAGGTTAAATAAATTTATTGCTGTAGTTGTTTGGGAACCTGGCATTAGATATCCTGTGGATTTCTGCAATCTGGGGCTAATGAAAATGTTCAGAAATGCTGACTGAGATATGTTTCCCATTCTGCAAGACGCTGGCAGGTTTGTGAAGCTGTGACACTGCCTGCCTCCTCTGATTACTGTGAACAGTTCCAAATTTGATAATCCTTCAAGAGAGAGGCCATGTGTGCCTAAGCAGCTATTCCAACAGCAGTGCCTGATTAACTGGGAATCGAGCACTGACCATACCCAGCAACTTTTGTTAGAGGAAGATTTAACTCTTAAGGCATATATAATTGTAGGTGCATTTTAAAAACTTCTTGTGTAAATCTAGTAATATTTATTTAATATATTGACATTAATAAATTTGTATTTATAGTTGATTAAAGGAAGCAAGCATATTGTTCATGTTTAGGAAAATTAGTTGAAGTTCACGGAAGTGAGTGGGTAATCTGTCTAGGAAGTGTACAACCAAGGCCTAAATTTCTGAAAGAAAGCAGAGAGCATAGGACTTGCCACAAACTATCCTGCAAATGATTCCGAAATCAGTAATGTACTTTTGTTGCACTTTTCCTTCTTCTGCCTCATGATAATAACAGAAGTTATGACCAGATGTTCTATGGGCAATTATTTTGATGAAAAGCACAGAATTTCTGAGACTAGGCACTGTTTGAGCTCTTAAGAATTGACATGCCAAGGGTTGTCAGCTCTCTGTAGTTCGAAAGCAACTTGTCCCAAATACGTACTGATGTAAGAAGCACAAATTTGTGCGTAGTCAATTAAAATGAAATTACTGTAAATTCTGCGGTGTTATTCTTCAACTATCACTTTGTAAACATGAAAAAACTTCTGAAAACACCTCTGTGTAAGACAGGATCCAAACTCTCATCTCATCCCAGTGACCCTTTGTGGTGACAGTTTCAGTATCAGCAAATGCAGGAGCAGCTTTGGTACTGGCACTCACTGTGCTGTGCTGAATCCTTGGGGGCCAAGCTAAAGATACAGGGTGAGTAACAGGTCAGCAAAACTTTCTAAGCAACATATATTCCTGGATACAGTCATTTCCTAAAGAGAAGGTATCAGACTTGAACTTAAAAGTGGCTATTATGGAATATCTTGGTCAGCTAAAGGCAGTGGAGGATACAGCCTTGATATTCAGCAGAAGAATCATTTGGGTTTCTTGTTTTGCTTTTGGCTGACTGCAAAAGAACAATCTGTTTCCAAAAAAGACTGTTGGAAGGTTTGGCAAATGTTTTTGGGGGAGCAAGTCTCATTTTTCATCACTTCTTTGTTTTCCTTTTAAAAATCAATATCATGTAATTCTGCAAATCTTGTCCCCGATAGGATATATTTGGAGGTGGTGGAAGAGTAATCTCAGTGCCTACAAATATTTCACTTATAACCACAGAAGAACTGAAATACTGTCATTAATATTTTTTTAGGAGTGTAACTGAGCCCCAATTTAGTAGTGTAACTGAGCCTTCCTATTTAGTAGGAAGCCAGGTGGTTGATAAGGAAAATGCAGGTAGCAGGAGATAATTAGCACACACACTGCTTCAGATTACCTGTATCCTGCAGGACCAAAAGGTTCACTGATCAAGTAACTCCTGGGAGCTACCTACTGTGTTTTAGGAATGAAAAATGAAAATTTTTTCACATAGGGAAAAAGAATTGCTACAAAGCTGTTTTGTTTGGTCACAAACAATTTGATTTGGGGATGATCAACCTTGGTATTTCTGGTTTTACTAATCTGACAGGCTTCTAACCACTTAGTCTGTGGGATGTAGAATAGTTTGGGAAGCTGGTGAGAAATAGGCTGTCACAGGATGCCTGAATTATTATGCAGATAAAATTTACCAACTTTCCTCCTCCAGTTTATCTTTTTTGGAAAGATACACGAAAAAATGAATGGCTGTTTTTGGTGAAAGCAAGTGCTACTTCATTTAGAATAAGCATTCTGTCATTTAGAGATTTACAACCTTAGCCATTCTCCACTGCTCTTTGCAATCACTGCTTCTGCTCAGTCTTTTTCTCTCTGCTTCTTCTCTGCTCTATTTTCATTTTCAAACCCCCCTCATTTGCCTACTAGCCGTTTTTTCTCTTTTTTTCAGATAATGTGGAAGGTGAAGAATGACCAGGCAGAACTCAAATGCCATTTTGTTATGCTTAATAGCTGACTCAAAACGAGCTGGCCCATCTCTGGTGTTCACATGCAAATGCTCTCTCTAGGGTTTTTAAATTGAGTCATAATTGCCTGTGCCAAAAGCTGTTAGTACAACAGGATAGAAAGCAGTCAGCTCTTCTCAGTGTTATATAAAGTTGTCATTTTGGAAGAATGAGCAATGATAAAGAACTGTTCAAGTGCTTTTGCCCATTTTCACAGTAAACCATGATGTTTGTGTTGCTTGTCGTGTTGGGCTCTTCTAATAAATTAAGTTTCTTCTGCAAGAAAAGAATTTAAAACAAAGCAATAGGAATTTAAGCACAATACACAGGGAAAATAAGGCATATATAAAGCATTCTCAACTTTGTATATAATATATACAACACAGTATACTGACTTACCTAATCGTGTGTGATTTAGCGAGTAATATAAGGTATATTAATATTTATAGTGTTTGAAATCTTAGCAGAGGATGCTCTCACTGACTTCTGCAGTATTGACATTTTCAAGTGGACAACAGCGTGCCTATTTTGCTTTCTCATTAACATTCTCATTTCTTTGCTTTCTCATTAACATTCAAATTACTTGTAGGACGATTATTAATGAAAATTGACGTGTTACAATCTAACTCAGCAGCCACTGTTGATTTTTTAGTAAGCAGTAATTTACTTTTGGCTCTCTGAAAACAACAAGGTAATGCTTCTGAAATTCTGCATTTCATAACCATAGCTGAAAATCAGTCTTTAGAGTTCCAGCATCTGTGGCAACATGTGCTCATGCATTAATTTGCTGAGTCAATGTCCCAGCTTTCTGATTCACCTCTTTTACTGAGGTGATAACAGCTTTTCTGAAGCTGTTCTGCAACAGAACTGCCTGCTTTTTCCACCACTAACTCATTGTTTTGTATATGATGCTTTAAAAATTTCACAGTGGACAATCCGTGCCCATTAGACAGACATAACTTCCCAGGGTTGCTCATCTGCCTCCTGGTGCTATTACTTTTCTGTTGTTATTTGACTGCAGCTATCAACTATATAGACATTAGAGTAGGGAAATATGTTCAGCTGACACACCAGCAGAAATCCACCTGGCACGGCAGGCTCTGTAAATCTGCTTTATAAGTGCCTCTTGCCTTTATAAAATATTGAGCAAAACAAAAAATGGTCAAATTCTTCTGGAAAGCAAAAAATACTAGAGCATAGAGGAGGAAGGCTTAGAGAGAAAACATTAGATGCACGTGTTTATAGAAACTGAGAGTTAGTTATAGAAACTTAAATATGAACAGGAAGGCAAGTCTATTCTTATAGATGATAAATTCTCAAGATGGAAATTATTCATTATATTCATGTAATAGCAAACTAGTTTTATGAAGCCAACTGCATCCAAAGAGCCTGATTTGCTTCAGCAAATCTGTGTGTCAAGTAGCATAAGTAGGTGGTGGGATTAACTTATTTTTTTCCCAGATAAATAAACAAAATGGTGAAGGCTGGCCACCACAGACTGGCTATTTCTTTCAAGTTTGTAAGTATCCAGGTTATGTTTGATAATTTGAAATTTAAATTTTTTGTCTGGGCAATTCTCAAGGTTGGAAGCATAAGAGGATGGCTTCTGTGTATAATTAACCCCATTCCAAACATCCCTAGTTACATTTTGGTCAGACATAAGTAATTAATTATCCTTGGCAGGAGAGTTTTGACATACACTAATGAAAATCTGGAAAATTTGGTAGCCTTGCTGTGCAGGACCTGAGAGGAGCTGAATACTTGGATAGGATTAATATATCTCACTCTTGCTTCTAAGTTTGGCTTAAT